TAAATATGTCAAAATGGTGAAAACCTTCAATAACATTAATTACTACTGATATAATTATTCCTGACTTGCACTTTGGGTCTTTTTTATGAAACTGGTGATATGTTAGATCATTACAGGAGAATGAAATGAAAGTAGAATAATACTATCCTTATTGAGTTGGTATGAAAACACAGGTTGAGCTGAAAAATAGATTTTTTATTATTCGAATAATTCAAGAAAATAAACATAACAATTTGTTACCAGGATTTTTTTGTAAATCTTTATCAAAATCTAATGAAAAAGTTGAAAATGACCTTACAAGTGCTATTTCGAACCTCTATAAAAGAATATTTTAAACTGAAATACACTTTTTTAGAACATTGGTAGTGGGTATTAATGATAATAACATTTTAAATAAAATTGTATTGGACTTGTTCTTTCTACCTTTTTCAATAAATATACAAAAAATCAATATAACAATACATTTAATTGACGTGTTAACAAACAAAGGAGTTGAAGGTGGATTTGCATCATCCTTTATCTATACTAAGTCAAAAGAACATACTTTATTTTTTCAAACTGTTAATGAGAATGAAAGTTCTATTTATATTTACAAAGAAAACCAATTATCTGAAGAATTTCATGGATCAGATCCTAATAGTGTGTTAAAAAAAATGAGCATGTTAAAAGAATAATTAGGCGAGACTTTATTTGGCTTAAATAATTCTAACATAAAAAAACTAGAACAATTGAAAAAATTTATATGTTTTCATAATAAATGGCACAATTATTCAAAAATGGAGCAAATATTCAGATATTATTTACAAAAAAAGAATATGTAGTTAAGTTGATTAGTATTTGTTATTTTAGGAATGGAAAGAAAATAATTGTCCAATAATTGAATTACATAGTCAATTAGCTTCATTATATTCAAATAATTATATTTTCTTAGAAAGAGAAATGAGAGCATGGCAGGTGATATTACGTATTACAGGATGTATTAATATAACACTATTTGATAAAAAAAATCAGAGGTAAGCTTTTAAACAAATCTATTACTTTTAATAGCAAAAATCTTACATTAATATTTCACAAATCTGGTGGTGATGGTAATAACTATAATGGTGATATATCATGATATAAATTCTGTGATAAATAATACATATTAAATTTTGTTTTATAATAAATAAAAAATAATGTTCAACTAATAAATTTCCTTACTAATTATTATAGTATGAATTTTGGACACGATTATCTGATTCTGAATCAAATAAAGCAATGATCAATATGCTTTATCAAAATGGTTTTTTATGAACAATATCAAGTAATATGTTCAATACTACAAAAGTATCCTGGAAAAGTTTTAAGCATAATTTGAGTTTAAATAAATGTGACACTAATGGAAAACAAAGAATACTTTCAATAATTGCAAATAAGTTTCCTTATAAAAAATTACAAACTAAACTTTATGTAATTATTTATAATTACCTTTGAATAAATTTTTTGCAAGTTAATTCATTATCTTTTATAGGTTTCTTCACATATAATTCACAATGCAAAAATATATAGACGTATATTTGGTCATAGATATCTAGCTGCATCTAAGCCACCAATGTGAAAAAAATTATGTCTTAAGAGCATAAAGATCAATTCAAATAGTTCATAAGCAGTAAAAAAAATGTGAATTTAAATTTTTACAAGGTTAATGCCAAAACAGGATTATCATTAAAATACCTTAATGATCAGAAAAAACTCTTTAAGAAAAATTTCATAAATTGTATTCTGAAGGAATGAAGAGATCAGCATTTTTGAAAAGATTAAGAAATGGACTATTTGTATATCAAAAGAATTTAGGCAAACTTTGTAGTACTTGTAGTATATATAGATATAATGTGTTTAAGGATTTAGCAAATCTAATTATACAAAATATTGAAAATCAGGAACTATAGGTATTATTCCATTTGATTTTTATTTCTATAATTATAAAATATTCAAAACTAATAATAAAATTGTAAATTAGACGTATTTACTTAAAAGTATTAAAAAATCTAAATGATTTTTTAAACATGATTATTCAAAACATTTACATATGATATGTGATGGAAAAGTATCGCATGACTCTTGTATTAATTATTACTTACCATTTACATTTAGTAATTATGATGAGGATCATATATCAGAATGTGTTGAATGTAACGAAATCTTCAATTTATTTTAGGAATTGCGATCATTACTTGGAGATAAATAACAAAAAACATTGAGAGAATTTTAAGAAATGCTAGAATACTATCTTGCACATCTAATAAGAAAAGGATATTTAAACAGTTAATTCAATGCAAATCTTTTGCAACTTAATAATAATAGTATTCTTATTGTGATGAATTATAGATGCAAATATTACCAAAACGAATTTGAGAAACAAAACAAAACTTTTATGTAAAACGTGAATGGGCACTCATACTATTTTGGTATATTCTAAAAATCAAGAAAACAACAAATTAGAAATTCAAGCATTTGACCATTGATCAAATGATAATAAACAGGATGCGTAGTTTACTGCTTCATTCTTTAATGCAGTATTTACCTTACTTGATCTAAAGCCAAGATGAGTTATCGTAATGAGTAATAATGGTCCACATTATCATTGTTCAAAAATAATAGCATTGGTTTCAAAATGGGTAGAATAGTATAATATTGAATGTAAAAAGTGATATTTTTTAGAGACAGGTAAAGCTAAAACTTCAATTGATAGTTACCATACACAAGTAATAATTATATTTACTTTGCTTTTTTTGACGAATATATTTATTCAAGCAATTCTCAACCCTTTTAATTTAATTAATCTAAGATTTCATATGCTATTAAGAGATATATTCGATTAGGGTTTGATTTAATTACTGGTAAAGATATTGAAAAGGCATTAGATAGTTTAAGTGGTATAGTAATAGCTTACTTGAAACCTAATCATGATTAAAGGAGTCAAAGTAATATTAAAATCATATCAGAAATTTCTAATTAATTTAAATGGTCTTAGCTAACGAAGGGTCCCTTAGCTGGATATATTTGTGCATGCAACCTTCCCAATTTTGGAGAAATAATGACTTTTTCTGTGAGTAAATTTACTAAAATAGAACTTTTACAGCCCAAACCAATAGTGAATAAACATTCCAAGGCTTCTTTAAAATGGATAATGCCAATATATCGAGCTTCAGACAAGCTTATTTTTTCAATGGCATTAATGGCGTTTCAATTTAATAAATCACACTTATTGTATGATTTCATTTGATCAATTTTCATTTGGTAGTGTCAAATACTAATCATTGGAATTTAAGAAGGTGGTCAGTTGATAAATTAAAAAATGAATTGAACAGAAGAAATATTCAATTTGATATTGGTATGGGATGAGATTAATTAGTGAATTTATTGAAGCAAGAAATAGAAGAAGAATCACAAATTGGTGAAGAATCAAGAGAAGATTTCTCAAAAACAGATATAGATTAGTGAGTAAAATTGGTTTTATTATGTAAAATAATTGATTATTATTGATCAAATGCTCAAAAACTTCCAAAATATAATAGGAGTCAAATATTTTATCTACAACTTGGATGGGCACTTAAATGCAATCAGAAATATGGTAAAAAAGACAGTGGAAAAGACTAGTAAAAGAAGTAGTAATGGCGTTAACTCACTTTTTTATGGTTGGACAACGTGATCCTAATGACTGATACACTGCAAAGGATATGCTGAATGGGTTAAAAGAAATGGCAGAGAATGGCGAAATTACAACTGAAGTGATACCTTCTCTAAAAATGATAGAAAATTGGATTACTAGATATTTAAGTTTATCAAAAAAGAACATGCGAAACGGTTTTTAGAAGAATAAATGCTTTGATTAATAAATTGCGAATAAAAGATTGTAATAAATTTTACGTTTTAAAACTGGTTCTTCTAGACAACCAATAGTTTTGCTACATTGAAAAATATAGAAACCATTTCTTTTTTGATAATATGAAATTTGTGTTTGACTTTTAGCAATTTCAATAAAAATTCGCCAAAAATAAACAAAATATGGCTTTTTTATCTTTTTTTTTTATTATTAGAACAAGTTTATAAACTATAACCCAAAATTTGAACAAATATTAGAATTGTATAGGTCGAAATTATGAAAGAGGTCTATATATTAGAGGCAACAATCTGATATTGTCCACTAATAAACCTTTTGAAATTGAAAAAACAAAATTATCGAAAAGTCATTTTGATTGAAGCGTGTGGTTATGATGACGTATTTACGAAAAGGAGGTGGCTGAAAATTGCATATAAAATTGTGTTACTTTAGTGGCTAATTTTCGTAATTTTCCAGAATTAATTAGTGATCGGCAAAATTTTGCCCCACGTTACACTGAGGATTTTATGTTACTGATCGGCGAATCACGAATTAAAGAAATAAATAAATTTATTTATTTTAAAACAAATGTAACATAAAATAAATATTAAACTGTAACTATTCTTGTGTTACTTTAAATGATAAACATTAATTTTAAGTTTCGTATATCTACGTTTTTACAAATTTAGTTTTGAGTTTTAGGTTAAATATGTGGTATTTTACAATAAAAAAATATTATCTTTTTTTTAACAATAGATAATACTATTACACGTGTTTCACAATATTGCGATCAGCCATGCGCCACATAGCCACATTTCGTGACATTTTTTGAAGGTTACGCAGGGAAAGTCGTAGTGGCAAGTGTTAAAATTACCTATAAAGGTCTAGGTGAGTTGAGATCGTGTTTGATAATCGCTCCATCTCGTACAACAAAATGTCTCGTACAATTTCAAATGCAAAGTGTGACTCCTACTTCTACGAAGTTGATCCTAAAAACTGGCGCTTCCTAGACTTTTACAGTCACCGCCAGAGTCGAGGAGGATTCAGTGCATCGTTTAAAACCGAAGCCTTCATTTTGAGAAGGTCTCTAGACTACCAGCTGGAGAAAGGATCGGATGAGGCTAAAGTATATGCGAAACGTCTTCTCGACGTCTTTAATGTAAGTATTTCTTTTCTTATTGAACTGTAAATTCAATGTTTCTACCCATGACTACGGAGAACAAGCTTCGTGTTGTTCTCTTTATGATGCTTCGTGATCGTTGTGGGTAAAGGGATATTCAAGGGCAGTTAAGGTTTTCTATCCATAGCTAGGGGAGCCAAACTTCGTGTTAGCTCCTTGAAGATGCTTCGTGATCGCTATGCTGGTGGAGCAAGCTTCGTGTTGCCCTTCAATGATCTCCGTGGTCGTTGTTCTGCCTTGAAGAGTCCATCCATTAAATGTGGTTTTGCCATTTATAAATGGAAATAATTCTAACGACTTTTATATTTTCTTTTGGTAAAAAAGAAACATCGTAATTTCGAAAATGTCGAGGCCTTTTGGAAAACGATCGAAGCCCAAAAATCCGAAAAAGAACAACTCGAAGATTCGAAGGTAACTTCCCAGGAAAATATTTGTAACACGTTAGTCCATGTATAGATACTATTGTCTATCACATTAGATCCAGGCGTTGCGAAGCGTTTTCGAAGGAGCGACCATGTACACGAACCAGGTATTTCAAACGGCCGCAGAAAACTTAATCTCTGCCAATATTGTGGTACGTGCAAGTGATGTTTCGGTTTTTTCGTCTATTCCTTTTACAAGTACCGACTGAAACGTTTCTAACACGTAATTTACAAAAGAATGAAAGGAAAAGACCCGCGGAGGAAGGTCATCCCATTCTTATGCGCCCGCCCAACCTTCGTGACCGTGATGAATGTGAAGAGGCCCATCATATAGATCGTATGGAAGGCCAGAAGGAGGTAATCATGGGATATAGCGTTCTTGATAAAAAAAACTTATTATTTAAGTGAAACAATTTTACGAGAATTCTTTCTTTCTCTTATTATGCAGTTTATTAAAACATCTGAAGATTTGCGCACTCCTGCATCTGGAGATGATGATGATGAGAAACACGAAAGTGAGGAAGAGAAACCTGAACAGATCGAAGTCGATCTGGAGGATCTTGCTAGAATTATAGATATGGTGCCTTTGATTGAGGTCTGTGATGGATTGTTTCTCATTTCTTTTCTTTCCACATATCTGATGATACTTATATATTCCAGTGGAAAGTTAACGATATCAACGTAACTAGGAGATTCCGGCTGCACCAACGCAACGTGATTGACAGGATAAAGCGTGAAGGATTATCATGGAAGAATTCGCAATATGACATTTTGTGAGTGTTGTTGAATGTTTAAAGCATGAAATTTAAGACTATATATACTCACAGAATTTAAAATTTCAGGACGCTATCATCGATATTTGTTCTGTCCTCTCCATGTCCGTATACGGAATTCACGTCCAGCGAATGGGATACAATCATTCGAAGCAAGTCGTGTATAATAGAACGGCCAATAATCCCACCATCTATATCTGCCACCCTGCATGAGGCATCACAAAAACATGTACTGGATGAGGATAGTTATGTTTATCCCGATAATTCTGAATTAAGCAGAGCGGCAGCTTCTGCATTTAATGAGCTGTAGGTTGACTCTCACCACTTTCCGCAAAAAAATGACTAATTACAACCATTTATATTATTTTAATCTTGATTCTTTAGTCGTAATCTTCCTCAAGTTGCTCCATCAAAAATGTCATCCGAGGAAAAACATTTCTGTGATTTGTTGTATCCACACTTGAGTGCTGTATTTAAGCGGTCTCACAATGAATACGAGGTTCAACTCAACCATACTGTTAAGGACAGCAAGAAAAGACCGGATTTTGCTTGCATTGTCGATGATATACCAGTTCTTGTGTCTGAGGTTAAACCTCTGGGGTATACACCACTCCAAAAAAAGAAAGATTTTGTAAAGACACACTTAAGGGCCAGAAAAGCACTAAACCAGCAATTAAATTTCAAAGGTGGCCCAGGTGAAGTAGGGCTATTTACAAATATGGGTACGTGAGATGCTCCGCTGGCTTGCTAATGTATACAACACTTGACAGATTTGATCTTTCTAGGCAATCTAGTTGAATCCTATTTTATGGACTTTAGATATGGATTGTACTGCTCATGGTCTTTTCACACAACAAAACTTGCAACAGATAAGGTTTCAATGCCATTAGTGGAATCAACATTTAGTCACTTCGTAGCATTGGAGGTATAAATGGTTCAAATTGTAATAATCATTTCTTTTGAAACTAAAATCAGTATTGTTTTAATTACAGAAACGGGTTTGCAAATTGGCTGCAGATTTCAAAGGACGCAAGCAATCGTTCACACCACCACTACAAATACAATTTATGACTGAATTTCCAAATTCACTACAGCTAAAGCAGTTGCTTGGATGAGAAGCATTTAATTAATATGGCTTGCAACATGGAATGGGCTTTATGACTACAGACATCTTGCTTTTCAAATGATTGTGTAAGAGTTATAGCAAATGTGCACTGAAGTTTTCTTAAGCATTGTATTAGAAATTTGAGTAGGATCAGAAGCTTTATTAAAGATGTTAACTATATATTAATATAAGAATATTATTAATACTATTAAAAATATCATCTTCAATGTGATTAATGGATCATAAAATGATTGCCAGTTATCAAAAAAAGTATTTAAAAAACTATTAGTAGTTATACAGTTGCTATAATTTGAAAATAAGTAGCTAGGCGCTTTTCATATTTTCTAATTCTAATTCAAAGTATTAATTTGATAAATTAGAATTTAATATTAAACGATTAAGAATAATTCCTTTCAAGATATTAGTCTATTATCTTAGTAGGTGTATTTTTAAAGTTATTATTTTTGTATTTAATAAATTAAAGAATATTTTTATTATTTTCGGATTTGAAGATTTATCTGTTATTTAGCTTATATAGGTTTATAATATCTGATTTAAGTTTATATATATAAAAAGGATCTAGTATTGTTAATATAAACATAATTTAAAGTGATAGATAAAAAATATTGGATATTATTTTTATGAAAGTTTGATAAGAAAATATTATAAAATATATAATTTTTTAAATTTGTAATAAAGAAAATTTTTTGATGTATTTATAAATTAAGAAGTTAGAATAATTAAATAAATAATTATATTTTATTGTGATAATTTTACTTTTTTGTAGTAGTAATTGTAATATTTATAAAGAATTATTTTGTAAATTTGATAAAAATGCTTATATCTTAAACTAAACAGTTAACAAATTTTGAATTTATTTTAAAATTATCAAAAAAAAGGTTTTATTGCAAAAGGTTTATTTTATTATATAAATAATTTTATTTAGTAACTTTATATTATTTAAAAGATATGTTAATGAATCAATTAAAAATTAATTTTATAAATAATAATAATCAAAAATAATGATTAGTTGAATATAAAAAAAAATGAATTATTAACAATATTGAAAAAAGTAAAATTATATGATAAAGAAAAGAATTAAAAATATAATTATATGTGTGAATAAATAAAATTAAAGATTGATTTGAAAGTAACAAAAAAGAAAAAAAAAAGATAAAATAATAAATAAAACTAAGATTTAAAATATAGGTGTTTTGCAGTAAAAAGGAAATTAAATCTGAATTTATTTTACTAAAAAAAATAAGATTTAATTTATAAAGTAAAAAAAATTTTTTGATATTTAAAGTTCATATTTTTATGTGTATATAAAAATTTTTTTATAATTATTAATTGACAAATAATTTTTGTAAAATAAAGTATCAAATATAAAGTTTATTATTTAAAAAATTTAAAAATTATAAAATTAATATTTAGTATGATCACATTTAGCTTTAATTATTACTTTAATCTGATTAAGCAAACTTAAAATTAAGCAATATATTGTTTTAATACTAATTTTTCTTCATTCCTCCTGTATCACATTAATTAACTCTTATTTAGATTTAGATAAAAGCTTTCTTTTTCAGAACTGATAGTCTAAATGATTTTACAATTTCTTAATCAGATTAAGATTAGGGCTTTGTGTCACTCAGTCTAAAAATCAGAATATTATGCATTCTTATCTACCAAGAACTGTAAATTGAAGTATGATATAATACTTCATCTTGTTGAAAAATAGAGTTAGAGTAATTATCAACCTATAGTATAAAGTGATTAGCCAGAATGTTGATATAATCGTTAAAATCCATGTTTTCTTCTATCACAATCAAAGGTCCAATTCCATGCCAATCAAAACAACCCTAAAACATTACTAATCCTCTTCTAAACTTACTGTAGGTTGAATACAATCTTTATTGTATACTTCTCTAGGACTTTTCCATATTCTTACTCAGCTATCTGATTAAAAAAAAGCAATCCTTGACTCGTCAAACTATACCACTTACTTCTATTCTTCTCTTCAGTCTCATTTTTTCTTGCTTTATCTTAATCAGTCAGTTTAATATTTATTAATTAAATGAGATTTTTTATGTATAATATAACTCCCAAAACCTTCATTATAAAAGTAATTTCTAACTGTATTATAATATAAAATTGTATTGAGGCTGAAGTTTAGTTTGTTCGTTACATTATCTAAAAAAGAAAATCAATCAGTTTAAATAATGTGTTGTTAAATCTAAGTATTACGTTTAATAAGTTTTTTAATCATCTAAAATGCTTTTCAGGTTTAACAGAATCTGTTTTTTTATATCTTTTTATAATATCATTAACAATGCTTGTAGGAATACCAAGCTGAGTAAAAATAACTGTTTACTTAGAATCACTAAAATATACACTAATTCATTTCTGCTGAACTTTTGACAGTTAATTTCCTTACATTTAAAACTAGAAGAGGAGTAAAAACAAATTATTTGTTATCTTTCTTATTTATATGCATGATAGGGAAAAATTACTAATCGTGATACTGAAATGCTATATTACGTGATGAAGGTCTAGTAATTTATTGTAGGTCAGTATATATATAGAAGGTGATCACAGATACCTGAACGATAAGTATTTTTTGTTTATTTACTTTGTTTACATGTTTACATATATTTCTAATTTAAGCATTTATTTAAGATATAAATAGATGTCGATCACAATAATAACAAATAATTTTCTTTTAAACAAAAATGGTTAAAATAAAAGAATTGAATGCTAAATAATATAGGACAATTCTTTACAGCTACAAATGAGGTGATTCATATCAAAAAATTGCTGATATCGTTCAATGTAATAAAACAACTATCTATGATGTAATAAAACATTTTAAAGAAACTGGTTCTACAATACTGAAAATATATTATGGCCTGAAGTCACTTTTTAATTCAAATGCATAATCTTCACTCAAAAAGATTATTACATAAAATTTGAAGTATCGTCACCTTACACTCAAAAAATTCAATTATAGACTAAAAAAAAGAAAGTTTCAACTATTACAATTCGTTAGACTCTTAAAAAAGTCAGCTTACATTTATGTGTTATTCGCTCTAAACTATTAATTTCTGAAAATAATAAAGAAAAAAGATTGGCTTGAGCATTGGAACAAGAAGATTGGACAATTGCAAAATGAAAGAAAGTTGTATGGTCTAATGAATCAAAATTTAGCTAATTTTTACAAGATCGTAGTTTACGTGTATGGCATATACCAGAAGAAGAATTTGACTCTTTTTATTTAACTACTATAGTAAAGCACAGTCTCGGTCGAATGTTTTGGGATGCTTTTTGTAATATGGGCTGAGACCTCTTATTTCTCTTTGCAAATCTGTAATAGGACAAAGATATACAAAAGTGTTATAGAGGTATACTATTCCTTTAATTTACAAATTAGTTCCTCGCAAACAAGGAATTTTTCAAGAGAACAATATCTCACCTTATTGAGCAAAAATTGCTGCTAATGTTCATAATGCCTCTAAGATTTTTATGCTACTCTAGCTTGCACAAAGTCCTGATTTAAATCCTATTAAAAATCTTTAGAATGTAATTGATAAGAAACTTTGTAATGTAATCGGGTGTCGATCTTAACAATCATAGATCTACAATTGTATAGCAAAATATAAATGTCGATAATGTTAAACATATTTAACATGTCTAACATGTTTAATATAGCTAATATATCTAACATATTAGATATATCTAACATAGTTAATATAGTAAATATAGTTAATATAGTCGATATAATTAACATAGTTAAAATATTAAAATATGTAATAGAATAAATATAAATACAACCTCTTTGTCAATTAGAAAAGACAGACCAATGGCTGTATAAAACCTTTCTTTTATAAAAGATAGCACAACACTACTCTTCACCTTGTGTACCTCTATTTCTTATTTTTTTTTTCTTATTTCTTTCATATATCATTATCTTATTATTTTCTTTTTCTCCAATAAAGTATTTCTTATTTCTTATCTAAAACTCTTCTCGAATTACTATGATAACTCTTAACTTGTGATTAAAGCCGCTCGCATCTAATAAACTTGATTTAATTTGATAAACTGATAGCAAATTAGCTAAGATTAGCGTAAATTAACTAAATTATTACGTAGACTATAAAAGAGTCAACTCTCTGATACTGCATCTAACAGTTGTAACCTGAAAAGATTACACATTAACAGTAACTTACCTAATCAACCTAAAAATATGAAAAATTTAAAACGTAAAGTAAAATATGCTTGGCATTCAATTTTACTTAAGTATTGTTAACGTGTAATTCTTGTGAACTACAACTGTTGATGGGTGTTCAAGTGGTTTATTCTTTTTAATTGAGCAGTAATCTTTCAACTTTTTACAAGCTTTTAACTTAGTCAGTTTACAAAAGTATTTATACTATTTCGTCGAGCAGTAATTCAACAGATTGCCAA